ATTGAAAGTGCACCGGTTTATTGTTATTTTTCTTGATATAATCAGAAGAAAATGACGATTTGTCGCTGTAAATTCCGTGGATTGAATCAGGTTTTCAGTTCTGAGCAACAGTGTTGGGCTGCATTCCAATTTTGACTTTCTCATGAGTGTCAAGAAATATCACCATGAAACAATGTGATGCGAATGAGAATTGGAGAAGTGATTGTTATCGTTTCGAGAGGGATTTAATAAATCCTCTGAGCAACTGTTAAAGAGGTGCTTGAAGTATGCGTGAGAGGATGAAATGAACAATCAAATTTGAAAATTCCTATTCATATCAGGCTTGATGGAATTCATGGCTGATCGAATGGTTCAGTGTTCATTTATGTCAGCTTAAGTTTCTTTATTTGAAAAAAAAGAGTGTTCAGATGTTACAAAACAATAAATATTGTTGAAGATCGCAACCGTTGTTCCTGAATCAGCGAGCTCAGCTCTCCCGACGTGTACCCAATCAACCATCGGTCATCCAAGCCAATAACATACGGCCGAGTGCCGAGCAAAAGGTGTCCAAAAATGGACNCATTCATCTTTCAATCGAAGAATTTCATCACTTACGATTCAAAAGATAAGGGACGTGCATAACATAACCAACCAAGACGCTTGGGTAATCGAAAGTTCTGAATCAAAAAATTTAATGAGGAAGCGAATAGCCTATTCTCTGGATTAAACCGAACTGGCTCCGATAGTGCACACGTAATATGATCCAAATCATGCTGTAGAACTGTTGATAGTTGGAAATTGGTTCGAACACTGAGTTGTTACTGCATGAGGACGTTTAAACATTCAAACTGCCAGACCCAAGTATTACGACATCACATTTTGTATATTATGTGTGTAGCATTTCATTTGAAGGGTTTCTCTTCAAATGAAATGACTCCAACTCTTCCGACGAATCCTCGTCAAATGCTAGAGTTACCTTACCAATCGCTGTGTAACAAATCTCTTAACTTCCGTATTACAGTTCGATGAAACGGCATTGGCTGAAAAGAAGAAACTAGCTGAGTTGAAACGCCTAACAGCACTCAAAGCTGAAGCTGAAAAGGACCGTCGATGGAAGATAAGTTTCCGATGAATTTCTTTCAGTCACATTATGATTTCTTCGCTTCATTAATTTTGCCTTTCAAATTTATCTATAATTTGCCGTATCTCCGCAGTTCTTTCAAATTGAATCGTTTTACTTACCATGGGACGAAGTGTACTTATTTCAATCACTCACTGTGAATCTCATTCATTTGGTAATCAGAAAGATATTCTCGCGTTAGAAACCAGTCAAGCAATATAACGGAAAAGTTCCATTACTTACATTTTTTTCATACGTTGAATTAGGTTTGTGGCAATAAGTTGTCGTATTTATAATTCAGTCATGTCATGTTTTAAAGTTTTTATGCTATTTTTAGCATCATGCTATTGAGGGTAACTAGAAGTGAATTTGTGAACTTTGCTTTTATTTTGCTTATCAGTGAAATACATCGATTATAGTCGAAATTTTTCATAGTTCAACTACACGAAATCACTTCTGAATAAATGCACTTTGGGCAAGAAATAAGCGCAGTGTGATATTTTGCAAAAAGAAAAAATAGAATGCGGAGTTGCGAAATGCACTGCTATTTGTCTTTAATGAAATGATTCGTAATCGTGTTTTGTTCACGAGCAAAAGGAACATGAAGAAGCATTGCGAGAAGAGAATCGACGCAGATTCCAAATGAAACTTGCAAAGCGTCGCAGAGAGGAACTGATAGATCAACACTGGAATCGAAAGACAGTACGTGTCACAATAACAACGACAGTCACTACCCCAACGGTACAACAGCAGGGAGCGCTCGAAAGTGCCGACGATGACGATGTCACAGACAGTAGCGAAGTTGAGGAGTTGTCTCGTGAAGAGACGGATTCCAGTGAGGCGGATGATTCTATGGAATTTGTCTCGGAAGAGGTTGAACTTGAAAATGCGGCTGTTGAAAAAACTAGCCGAAGTATTGACGTTGGAGAGAGAAACGACAAAATGGACGAGAGAAAATTACGGAGCGAAAATGTGACTGAGACTACAGCCACTTCAGTTCCAGGTAATCAACATTTGAACACTTTTTCAACCCGTTTTTGCGAAATCAACAAAAAATTTAGTGCAAAAAAATGTTGCGCTGGCCCAACGACTTCAGCGTATGTGTAACAATACTGATTGCGGGATCGGAAAGAGAGAGGAAATGCAAAGAATGCGAAAATAATTTTGCAAAATGCGAAAAGACGATTTCGCTGGTTCATTGTAGGTCTTTGACAGAAGAGTGCAACAATCATTGGATGGAAATATGATCCATTCTTTATTTTACTAACAATTTATTAGGGCGTACAAATCAAATCACATTATGAGCCATAGTGCAACCTGACTTGACACCATAATCGTCATAAACTATGGCGATTTATATAGTCAAATATTTCTGACCATCGACATTGTAAAAGACCGGTTGATTTTTGCCAACCGTTTTCATATAAGACATTATGAAACAAAAAAGTTAAGGTGAGTAAGAAAATTACATTAATATACTTATCGGGACCATATTGCTCCTGTAAAGAAACACTTGAGGCTGTCATTAGGTGCATGTTAATGTCTTGAAATGAGGCAGTGATCTTGAAAAACAATTTGTGTATACTTACCACCTATGAGGAACAGGATGCTACGCTATCCACGTTCCGAAAATTACATCACACAAAATAAACTGATGAATATGAATGCAAAATATCAGTGAATGTTTCTCGTTTAAGTAAAACACGAAGATATGTCATAACTCAAAATTTAAACGTATTCCAAAATCTATTGATCATCACGGCGCAAACATTCTCCAACGATGTTTCCCCAATAAATATTCACCTGTGCGGGTTCAAGACGTCTAGTGGAATATACTGGCATTTTTCTATTACTATTTTCATGACGATGTGCTTAATCCTATCGTATCCATCTTTTAACTTCTTCTTTCACCAATACTGACATTTTCAGCTGATTTAGCCGTCGAACCAGCAAAAATTATGGTTATGGGCGATAAGACGTTGAGCGGTTGATGCTCTATTATGTTCTTAGTGAGGGAAGCGAAGCATTGGAATTGCAGCAAAGATATACGAATGAAATAATCTGCTGGAATTACCAAAAGCTTTGTTGATTATTGAAGTGATGAATTTTGAATTTTAAGTTCGAAAACAGCCTCTCATAGTATTTGAATTTTAACTGCAACAATATAAAAGGAAGCTAATCGTTTCATATTTTTGAAAATTCCATATTCTTGAAACTATATTCAGAGTTATTTGTATAAAAGTTGATTTGTTTTGAACAGTCCCTTCATTTGTTTCGTTTTTACTATTCGTTATCGATTTATTTTCCGATTACATTGTATAGATTCAGAATGACTAATAAATTTATACGAATACGTTGTGTTGAACAATGCACAAACACAGATTTCTTAATGCAGATCGAAACAAACAAAACGTCCACATGAATTTTGTTAGAACTTTAAATGCACAACTTTTTGGTTTGGTCATGATCATCGCAACTTTCATTCCTCTTTTCTTCTACTCTCAACTCCATATTCTGTGACGTCAAAATTCTGTTACTCGTTACATCCGATGCAAAAAGATTCCGTCCATGCTAACTGAATCATCAGACAATCCTTCAACAAAAAAGTCAATTTATTTGATATGCTGGTTTATCCTGATGGTCGTCCGTTCTTGAAACATGCAAATGCTACACTTCAATGCAGCTGATCAGCACGTGTTCCATTCCCTGTGAACAATATTCCGTACGGGATGAATTTAAGAGTGAAATTAATCGTAAGTGAAATCAGCATATCAAACAAATTAACTTTTTGTTGATTCGAAAATGATCATAATAATCACCAAAACCCATCGATTTCCAACTTCCTTCGTTTTGCTACCAGTTTGCAATAATTCACATACAAAAACCTGTCAAATTTCGATGAACACTTTGAACGGTGAAATCCACAAAATCGAATTTCTCCGTTTCTTGGATACCCAATAAACGATATTGGGTTTTGAATGATCCAGCTCGCAAATTAGAGAAATTTTGTAAGAAGTTGGATTGTTTAAGTACAACATAACAATATCATCATTATCATCTTCCAGAACACATCGATTTGGTCTTCTTTATTAAGTCATTCAGATAACGATCCAATATACGATCACTTTCATTGAAAATTCATTCCTGGCAATGCTTTCGAGCTGTTCTGTGTTGGCGTTTGAATTTGAATGGCGCAGGCACGCTCCTCAAATCTTGTTGCAATTTCCGATGAAACGATGGGTGAATCTACGGGAAGGTTTATTAATTCATTCATATTACGAAATACTTTATTCGCTTGAACACCCTTGGTTTGATTCAATTGTCAGTGAGAATGATGTTTTCAATTAATTGCCATCAAACACAATTGGTTTAACCAAAAACGATAAAGAACATGTTCTGATTACTTATCACATTCCAATGAATGAGACTCTCTAGAAAATGTATTCGACCCAGCAAAAGCAAGAGTTATTATGTTTGAGCAGTCAACGAATACGTTTCTCGAAACTGATAGCGAGAGCAGATGGATACCATTCAGGGAAATTTTATTATATTTTTGGTACGAATTTGTGATTCTGTCAAATTTTCCTTCATGTTGCTTTCGAATTTCAAAACTACTGAAGAATTTTGTGGATAGTTATTCTTTGGAGACATTGCCGTGAAACATTTGTGAGAATTCATAGTTTACATTGATCGAAGGAGTTTGGCTGATATGGTCATGATATTTATCAAAGGATAGCATGCAACGCTCAAAAATGTTTCATTTCTAACATTCTACTCTTTTTTTGAACAAGTTCATAGTTGAATGGTAAAAGATTTTTGAATGGGAACTGACCATTATGAAAATGCTCCAGATGAAGATGCTGCACAGGAAGAGATGCCCTCTGAAATATTCATTCATAAAATTCACTCGATGGAGCCAGAAAGATGAAAGATAAGAATGTTCTAATTCGAATGTCTTTCGTACAGAGAAGAACTGATCAAGTATTTGAAAAAATGGACTAAGTAGTCATAGATTTGTGCCATTTTTCAGCAATCATGCCTACTGCATGTCCAAAAGTTCTCACAATCAATTAGTTGGCAAATTTTGAACGTTTCCTTTCATCATCGCATGTAACATGTTGACTACATACTTTCGTGGTTTTTTAAAGGAATTTCATTGTTGGTAGCACACTGTTTATCAAACTTAGAAAATTCTCAGTGCAGTCGTGACCATTCTTATTCTACCATACCTGTTTCATCCGTTCACTGGGATTTTGATGCTTGTTTCCGATGTTTTCTGGCATCGATCTTCTGGTGCTGATCGACCTCGTTGCCGGTCCCACAATTTGTGTCGTTCTATAATTTTTGCGCTTAACCAGCATCTGGTTTTAAACATCTGTCATAATCAATTGATATGCATTTAAAAGTTAAATTGTTTACCGCGTAACATTGTTAATTACGCTCACTGCGATCACAAAGATCGCTCTTATAAAAGTTAGCAGAGATCCGTCAGTGAAACTGTTTATCGTGAAGTACGAAGTTAGATTCGTGTTTACCGATATATTTTGTCAGAGAATAGCTAAGAAACACTTAACAGAATCGCAATTATAAAACACTAAATCGGGGATGAATATAGATTAAACTGATTCATGATCACAAAAGTTTCAACAGAAGTTCATTCAAAAAACGAACTTGTTTGCTTTATAGTTTAAACAAAAGTGTACAATCATCGTAACAATGATGAAACCACTGAGGAAAAAATACAGAGCAATAACTCCAAAAATGAATAAGTCCATATTGTGAATGAATCAATGGTAAATGAGTGACGTCTTCAAAGATACTGATTTAGCGCGGATTCACATTCGATCGCTAACATCGTTGACTGCAATGAGAAGATAATTGCGCGTTAATTTTCGCAATAATGCTAATCATATTACGTGGGAAGCTGAATTTGTTGAATGCATGTAAGATCGCGTAATGGAATGAATATATTCAGATTCGTATTCTGAAAATGAATGCGTCCAGAAGAAAAGTTTCCATAAACAAAGCGGGGGATATTGTTGATAACGATTCTTATCGTAACATTAAAATTGAAAAGGCGCTATTGTAACAATAAATTTTCTAATAATCGAACAAAATTTCGGTTCGGCCACAATCACATCAAACCGACTTTTTAATGCTCCGAAATTCGTATTCCGGCTAGTGATGGTGACCAATGGAAATTCCGGAAAATTCGGATTCTGACCGAAGAATTCCGGAATTTGGTAAGAATATGAATTTCGGGCCTCTAAAAATTGGATGCGGTAAGATTCCATCAGAAAATGTTGACATTCGTTCGAGACACCGAATTTCGAAACCTCAAAAAATAGATTTAACAGCCTTCCAACCAGAAATTTCAAATTCCAGTCATAATAACGAATTCTAAGGTTCTCAGAAGCCGGCTTGATCGGATCTCAGTTGGACCCAAATTTCGTTCTGCTACAGTCATGAGCTGCGACTGAACTTCTGAATTTTCAGTCGGGCTCCGACCAAAACCATTTTTGAGATTCCAAAATTCGGTATTCTGGCCGAACATTGAAATTTTCCTGCGGAAGTCCGAATTTCAAACCCTGACCAAACTAAATCGAGTTTTATTGTTCGAATTTCATTCGGTTACCATCATTACTCTTCTCGCAGTATGAGCATGCGATAACAGTAATCCATTCACAGTACCTGAAAAACAAACGATATTTCCGAGAGGTATTTTTGAAATAATCAGAGACGCGCATTAGGGATAGCGATTATTGTGCTACCGTGTTCAAATAACGGAATTTTTTAGCGATAGTAGATTTATTTTCGTTGTATAACAGTTTAACGAACTATTTTTTCGTGGACAAAGCGGAACAGCGGACTAATCCCACTAATCTGCTAATCGAGCGTCTGCCAGTAAATGCATGAGTGTTCCACCATTAAGGTGTGTAAGTACAAATTTGCGCTGTTACACTACATTAAGCTCAAGCCTACTTTACTCGTACCCTCTCGAACGGTTCGATATTGAGTTTGCTTTCGGTGCAGCGCTACCATCACGTTTCATCTCATTATGCTACGTGACTGTGTCGCGCATTGCGAATCGCGGGAGGAGATAAAAGATGATGAGTCATAAATTGTAATAACATGCAGCGTGACCCCTAATGAATGAAGTGATAATGAAAGAACTGTACGGGATGCAGATTTAGCAAATATCACACAAACAGATCTTTCACAAACATGATCCTTATTGCTTTTGCTGAGACTGCCACAAATTCAAAGAAAACGTTATTATTTATTAGTGTTAGAATGTTCAAAATGTTAAAATGTCATAATTCAAGAAAGTGTTAAAATTTTATTACTTAAAACGTCATTACTAATTTTGAGAGAATGTTCTAAATTAGCGATAGCGATTAGCGGACTATTTTGCTTGATCAGCGGATTAG